CAACATGCCAACGTTCAACGTCAGGCACCCAGTAAATTTCTCAGACAGGACGAGAAAACGACCATCCAGACCATCTGCTTGTTCTCAATGGGCAAAGAGACAAGGAAACCGCTTTCTAGCCGTTTCCTAGAATCAATCAGCTTCAAACCCTCCTCTAAGCGGAGACACCTGAGATTGGGCATAGTATTGATCATCCTTTCTAGCCGTTTCCTAGAATCAATCAGCTTCAAACCCTCCTCTAAGCGGAGACATCTGAGATTGGGCATAGTATTGATCATCCTGATCACTTGTCTTAGCATCCCAAGAACTAGCTTTGTAGGATCCTGCAAGGACTTACAGACTATTGAAGATATTCGTCATGACCCAGTGATTGACAAATGCCTGAAGGCCAAAAATTACCCTCCCCTAACTTTTACTCACAAAGGTGTAACTCACTAGCTTCAATCTTTCACTGTGTTGATCCAAACAAGATTTCTGCTTTACAGTTAAGAAGAGTTCTTCTGCTGAGCATATCATGACCTTCTCCATTCTTTTGGGTGAAAGATTGAAGGTGAACTCACCCCATGGCTCTTATGGGACACATCACCTCGTGTTTTTCTTCACAAAGACCTCTTTTACAAACTGGCCTGTTGCCAGGATATCCTGTGATGAACTTAGTAGCCCCTCCTACTGACTTGTTAACATGGGATTCACTGAATAGCTAAACTACATTACCCATAAGCCATCTCTTAAGGAGACAGCGCTTAACCCTTTAAATGCCAAACATTCTAACATATAGTTCTCATCTAACTAGCCGGTCCAGAATACTGATTGATAATGCTATTTTCCCTGAGCCTGGGATACATAAGCCTCCATATTATATAATGTTAATTATGATCTCCTGTTGATTGTATCAGCTGCTCTTTCAGCAATAGGTCCTTTCAGATTGAGGTATTAGCTACTGTTGTGAGCTAAGGAGCTGCTTCTACTTAGCATGCGTACCCTCATGAATGATGCTTATTTGCTGATGAAAAGCAAAACTCCACCTCTTCCCACCCTTTTTGTTTTCTGTGCTTAGAAGTGAAATTGAACACTGTAACTCAAAAGAATGAGCTATCTTGTTGTTGCCCCTTCTTCTCTAGAAGTGTTTAGCCCAGTGTTTCTCAACCTTGGCCACTTTAAAATGTGTGGACTTCAACTCCCATGCTGGCTGGGAATTCTGGGAGTTGAAGTCCACACAGCTTAAAGTGGCCAAGGTTGAGAAACACTGGCTTAGCCCAAGGAATAAGGGCAGTTCAGCCCTATTAGTGTTTCAGAGGGCAATGGAGATGTAACTCTCTATACAGTCTTCAAGAACAGGATAGAAGATTGAATGCTGCTCCTGAGAAATTGGCTTCAGGAGGTGGAATGAGATAAGAAAGCAGGCTGTTGATCACAAAATATTTTTGTTTGTGATGCATTTTGCTTGTAATATTAAATGCCTTATGGGGCAGTTGTAAGCATCCCAATTTGATTGGAGCAGCCTAAAAGTCTAGATATAGGTAGTCCTTGACTTACAACAGTTTGTTTAGTAAACAAAGTTATAATGGCATTGAAAAAAGGGACTTATGACTCTTTTTCACACTTACCACCATTGCAGCATCTTCATGGTCACGTGATCAAAATTTGGACACTTGGCAACTGACTCATATTTATGACAATTTATGTATTCTGAGCCACGTGATCCCCTTTTGTGACTCCCTGACACCCCTTCTCCTGGTTCCTTTCCTGGAGCAGACATACTTGCACAATCTTCTGGTTTTCACTGGATAGGCTGTTTCTGGAGATTCTGGAGATGTCAAGCGTCCCTCTCAGTCATCTAGCAAAGAAAAACTCCTGGCCATTTGTTTTGTCAGGAATATGAAGCTTAAATGGTTACAGAAGCAGCGTAAGCTGAATCTGAGGTTTTCCCGTGCAAACAACACAAAGAAAAGTTCCCTTCCCCCCCCCCCCTGCCCCGGCCATCCCCAAATTATCTGCAAATGTCCAATCAGGTGCTTGTATATTGTTCAGGAAACAGCTCTGAATGGCATTGTTACTTGACCTTGGCTGGCTGGAGCTTCTCACATGGCTCAGATGGGCTTCCATCCTCCCCTTTTTTCACATTGCAAGTTTTCTTTCCCCCAACCCCCCCCCCATGCCAAGGTCAGGCTGCCAGTTCATGTAGCCTGGATAGGTGAGATGCAGCCATGACACAAAGTCAATGGGGAATCCAGATTCACTTAACAACCATATTACTAACTTAACAACTGCAGTGATTCATTTAACAACAGTGGCAAGAAAGGTCGTAAAATGGGGCAAAACTCAACAACTTAGCAACAGAAATGTTGGGCTCAGATTGTGCTCCTAAGTCAAGAACTACCTGTAATGAAGAAGGAGATTGCAATATCACCAAAGGTCAAAAAGACGTGGCGGTGATTTTTCAGCCACAGAGACTTATCTTTAATAGAATCTAGATCTTGTGTCATTTCACCATTACAACGATGGGCCAGCCATTCTTTCTCAGCCCTAACTTACCTCACAGGGTTGCTGGGAATATCCACAGGTCAAGCTTCTGACAGGAAATACAGGTCAAAAGTAATATATAATCATCTCAGTTATGCATTTGTTCACTTATAATTATAAGGCTATACAGATCCAGACAGGCTGGGAAACGTCCACTTTTGGAGGCCAGTCATAACTAAAATATTTGAAGTAAAACAAAAAAATGTCTAAATTTCTGATCCCTTTTAAGCTTAAGACACAGGTCAAATGATCCCTCACCTTCCCAACTACAGCTCCTAGCATCAGTAATGGCTAGGAGTGCACACCAATGGCCATCTTGAAAGTCCACGTGTGTCAATTATATTGATTCATGTGAAACAGCTTAATGACATGCAAAGCTGGCAAAACATATCTAAACTTCTCTAAACCTGAGTTTCTTTGATTTACAGATGTTATAACAATGTCGTAGTATGTATGTTTGGGTTGTACTTTGTTTAGAAAGTTAGGAGCCCCCCCCCAATTAGATTAGACTTCCTAGACAAAGCAATGTGTTCTATTCTAATTGCAACAGATCCCTAACTTCATAGGCAGATACTGTACATTGCCCATCTTCTCTAATCATAACTTTCAAACTGGAAATTTTAGAAATTAAGAGATTCAGCAAAAAATGTGCATTCTGCAGCTCAGCCCAATATGGCAGGAATGGGCATGCATGCAGGAATGGGCATGCATGCAGACCTCACCCCATTTTGTAGTCACTAAAGCCTTCTTAAAGCACAGCGTGAATTTTGTCAAATTTGCCATTTTTTGACGGCATAATTTTTTTGTGGGTTTCTCAACCCAGTCTAAGTTCTCTAGCAGAACTGAAATATATACCACACTACTCCCCATGCCCTTTCAGCCCTCTAAAGTTGTCTATATGTCTATATGCACATGTGTGTATAACTGTTTACTAACCTTGTTATAGACCAGACCACCCCCAATTGGGGGTGCGAGATGATATTCCAGAGGGTGAGAAAACTTTAGAAGTTTAGAAGTTTCAAAATTATAGTAAATATGCATAATTCGTTGCTGTTATTTCAAACTTTTGTAAGGGGTGCGAGAATATATCAGAAGCGTTCTAGGGGTGCGGGGTATAGAAAAAGTTGGGAACAGCTGCTATAGACAATAACCATCTATAAGGGGGGACAGAATATAAGAAAAGCCTACAATTCAATTGCTGTAGCAGGTTCTTTTCTAAACTCAAACCAAGACAGAAATCAGAACCCGAACTGCAACATTGTTCTCTGTTCTACAAACCACTATATGGGGGGGGAAAAAAATCAGAATCTTTTTTTAAAAAATATAGCACAATGTAAATTTAAATTACATTTATTACCTTCTGGTGTGTGTGTGTGTGTGTGTGTGTGTGTGGGTGGGTGTGGGTGTGTGTATTTAAAATGAAATTAGTCACTTCTGAAAATTGTGATAAAGGGAAATTCCCAGTATTTTCTCATGTTCTGTTAATGTAGGACTTGTTTTTCTACGACAGTGTGTATTTTTATCAAGTAGTGCATAACCATGGTATATACACCAACTTTGGAATTTAAATTTAAATTAACAGTGAAATGCCAACACTGGCTTACAAAACTTTGGGATGGTTGTACAGTATATTCAGATAGTATAGTATATACACAACTCAGCCCAAAATTTATGTTGCTAAATGAAACATTTGTGAAGTGAGTTTTGCTCCACAGTTGTTAAGTGAATCATCAGAATTGTTAAGTTAGTAACATGGATGTTAAGTGAATCCTGCTTCCCTATTGACTTTGCTTGTCAGAAGCTCACAAAAGGGGATCACAAGACCCCAGGACACTGCAACCATCATAACTATGAATCAGTTGCCAAGCATCTGAATTTTGATCACATGATCATGGGGAAGCTGTAATGGTCATAAGTATGAAAAATGGTCATAGGTCACTTTTTTCAGTGCCGTTGTAACTTTGAATAGTCACTAAATGAATTGTTGTAATTCAAGGACTACCTATATACTAGTGGTAACGCATCATTAGGTAAGCACAGCTACTGAGAAGGAAGTATTTAGAACTCAGATCCTCCATCTAACCCCCTCCCAGAAAACACTACCTATATTTTGCCATAGAAATAATATTTGGTACTGCTGTGTAGTATTTTTAATGCATTATGTCTAAAACAAAAGAGAGGGGAACCAGCTCTTTTTGCAGAATAAGGTGATAAAAATTCTAGAGTGATAGACTGTCAGAAGCAGCAGGGGGGAATAGTATAATTCTTGCTCCTGTTTTCCTGAGCAGAAAAAAAATTGCAAATAGAAACCCAAAATACAAAAACTCAACTCTTTTCCGTCTCCAATATGGTAGTTCTTTATCTGCAAAAAGTTTTTTTTCATAAATGCACACACACACACACATACACATATGATTTCATATTCTTAGCCAATGAATAGATTGATCACACACATTAATCCATTTAATGCTTCCAAAAAGTGCATAGACAACAGAAATGGAATAATATCAAATTTTGATTTATTTCATCAAATATAAAAATAATATAAATAACTTAAATTTCACAGGACAAAAGATCAGTGCTGCTTTCAGGTTAGCAAATGAATAGAAATGTTTACAAAAAGAACTCTTTTCTCCTCAATGTGAAGATGAGAAAAATTCCATAGGAATTATATACATAATATATAATTATATAAATATATATGTTCAAGCCAGCAAACCTATATATTAGCCACTCATTTATAACAGCTTTATAAAAGCCCAGATATCCCCATTAAAAAGCATACCGTTTTTATCTCTTTCACACAGTTTGTGTCATTGCAATCAAATCCCAAACCATAAATATTAACATTTTATAAACATATTTGCATAAATACGTTCAGTGCAAAATTCTTCAGTTTGTTTTTTCACACCAGAGCTTCCAAATATTGACTCAGGGAAGGATAGGGTAAAAGATGAGGATACAAATTAATCTTTGTTGACCTTCACGTCGCTTGGCTTCTGAGCATGGCTAAGGGTTCCAAATAGCCAGTCCCAGTGTTTAAAGTAAGGTGCATAGTTGAACTTGAACTTCTGGTGGTGGAGATCATGGTGTGGAGCTCCTCCATACAGGCCAAAAGGCACCAATTTATGGGTTGACCATGGCAGGTCATAGCCAGAATGATCTTCTACTGACAACCAGATGTTGGCCGTGAAGAAAGTCATTTCCGTCAATGGATGACACCCCAACAGCATCGGACCAATTACGGCAAAGAAACCCAGCCAGAGCAGCTCCCAAATGCTGGCAAACTGAGTGGTCAGAGCAAAGGTAGAGACGTGTTTGTGGTGGACCTTGTGGAAATTTTTGTAGAGCCAGGGCACTTTATGGTGGAGCAAATGCCACAAAAAGGACAAGAAATCGAACAACAGCAGGCAAACAGCTACCTGCAGGAGAAGCGCGGGTACCTCGGGAGCAATGCTAGGCAAGCTCACTGGCCTCCAGTACCAATGCGCAACAGTCACTGGAAAGATACACACGATGTGGTGGTAGATGCTCTGAGCCAGGCAAAGAACCACCATCTGCGGTGTAGGCGAGCTATGCGGTTGGATTTTATACTTCCTCAAGACGGAGATCCAAGGGCTTAAAAAATCCAGGGCGATAAAAGGCAAGCAGAAAGCTGTATAGATTGCAAAGCTGAACAGCACCGGGAAGAAGGGAGACTTGATCAAGCCCTCCTGCCTTCGGACAAAGTTCCAGAGAGGCTGTAGAGCCGGCGCGTTTGGCAAGTCATGTGGCTCGTCACAAAAAAGCAGCGTGCTTCCGTTGTGTATGCTGATCTCCATTGGAGCTGCAGCCGTCGCTTGTGCTGTTTGTGTACTGGAGCTGTTCATTCGCCTGAAGTCTTTTTTATGTACTCCCGTGGATGACGTAACGAAAACAAAAAAACTTCCCGCAAGTAATCAGTTCAGTTCCTTTTCCTCTTGAAGAAAAAGTATCGGGAGGGGCGGGGGTGAGGAAATTCCCTTCTCTTATTCCAAACGTTTATCCTTCGATGAGCTGTCCTTTGCCGCGCCTCTTTCTTTTGGTTACAACAGATTGGATTTGGGAGCTGAAAAGCAGGCTGAGAAGGAAGCCTAGGAGAGGGCATAGGAATGGCACTGAAAAGAATTATATTAATGGCATTTAGTCAGAACAGAAATGATGAGGAGAGTAAAGATCACAATCTTTACTTCACTTCAGTTACTTTACTCTTTAAAGAACACCATCCGAATATTCGTGCTTTGGTTTCTGAGGATGATTACATGGTGCTAAAGGGCTGAGAAGCCGAGAGGAGACATTTAAAACAAAAAGTGTGGCATTCTGGAAGCAGAGCCAAAACAAATTTATAGGCACTTTTCAGCTGTCAATTCAATAATTGTTGGGGTTTGATGAGTGCCACCAATGGAGATTGTGCTGTAATTCTCATCTTGTAATGTGTCATTTCAGATGTTTCAAATACATGACATGGGGAGAAAAAATTCACTCGAAATTTCTAACAGATTAGATAGGATGCCACCTTCAAGACTCCAGTCTCTGTTTTTGCTATTTTACTAAAATGAATAAGAGTATTACAGGCTAACATCAGCGAGATAGGGTGGGGTTATCATTCTGACCTCAAATCTCAGGTGGCTTTCAAGGTTCATCAATTCATCTTGGTTGTCACAGTATGAGTTATGCGTGATTTGGCAATCTATGTGCTCACACTGGAGCCTCTATCTTGTCATCAGATCACTCTGAGGCATGCTGAAGTCAGGCTAAGGCTAACAAACATTTTCCATTCCCTAGCAGGAGAAGACCTCCCAGGTTCACATGTTAGGTCAGTGATGGTGAACCTTTTAGAGACTAAGTGCCCAAAAACTGGCCCCGCCCCCACTCCATCCCCCCTGCCTGCCCCCACTCCGCCCCCCATCCCTGCCCCACCTGCCCACAGGACCATTCACTGCCTCCAGGGCCCACCACAGATCACCCAGGCAGCCCAGCAGCGCTATGGGGGCCACACCCTCTGCCCGCGCCTTGCAGCATCAACTGCATGATGGGATGTGAGGGCAGAGTCTTGTCTACGCTGCCTGGCTGCCATGTCCTTGGCTGCGCTGCTCCGTGTGGGCCATGCTCGAGGGCGACTCTCCTTCAGGGGGGCTGCTGGAGAGGAGGGGGTCACGGGGGGAGGCAAGGCTGGGGCAACGGCACATGTGCCCACAGAGAGGGCTCCGAGTGCCACCTCTGACACCCGTGCCATCGGTTCGCCACCACTGTGTTAGGTCATATGTAGAAAGAGCCTGCAAGACTGGCCCCTTCCTTGAGAGAGAATGGCCATTTTGGCTGGGGCTGCAGTGGGATTGGACACCTCACTGATACGATTTCATGTGATTTGTTATTGTTTGGGCCTGAGGATATTGATCTCATAGGAGGATAAGTTGGTCACTGTGGGAAGCTGTCCCCATCAATCATTATTTGATTGCAGTACTTCTGTTCTTCCATCTCCACATCTTTTCGTTTTTCAGTTTCACACACAGGAACATTCAAACATGGCAAAACTTTTTAAAATCCATGATGCAGTTTCCAACTCTGAAAGTCAAAAGCAAAGCCTGGTTTGAGGTTGGTTTTCGATGGTGGTGGTGGTACAGGCAATCCAAATACACTCATCTGCTTTTTCCTAACCTAAAAGAGCCAAACCAGTTATTGTCTTGAAAGTAACCCACATTACTTTCCATGAGGACAGCAACAGACCTTGTGGCTGAGGCACAGTGAAAAGTAGATTGTAGTGAAGTTCTTCTCAATCGTTGAGTTCTTGGGACTCATCACAATGAGACATTAGGACAGGGCTTTTCAACCAATGGTACATTGGCACCTGGCAGGTGGTACGCAACCATCCTAGAAAAGTGGTAGCAGGGGAGGGGAATGAGCTGAACCGGTAGCAGCACTGCACAAGCCTGAGCAAGAGATGGCTGGAGCTGCAGGACTGTCAGGACTCAGCAGAAGCGCCAGGATCAGTGCCGCTTTCCAGCTGATCGGCACTTCTTCGGGACTGNAGCATCTCCAGGGTCTTGTGATTTACATTCAGATGCTTGGCAACTGATTCATATTTATGACGGTCACAGTGTCCCAGGGTCATGTGAAGTGACCAAAACCTGCTGCAACCACCCAGCAGACAGGGGGAATAAAAACCAAACACTCCCCCACCCCACCCCCACTGCCAATCCTCAACAGAAATGCTCACAACAATGAAAACCTCGGACAGGAGGAAGAGTGCGGCCAGGCAGGCAGGCAGGTGTCTTTTCAGTGCCATTGTAACTTCGAACAGTCACTAAGCGAACTGTTGTAAGTCGAGGACTACCTGTACTTTATCACTTTTTTTTCTTTTGGTCATCAAGTTTTTTACACCTTGCTAGGGGACTGGTGGTACTCGGATGTTGTCATATCCTAAAAGTGGTACAATGGGTGAAAAGGTTGAAAAGCCCTGCATTAGGACAACTTATTCTGGAAAACAGAATAAGAACAGAAGAGAACAGTGAACACCCTCAACTCACTCTGAACATCAGAGCTGAAACTTTCCTGGTCGTATGGAAAGAGAAGGTGCCATTGCTATCACTTCAGGCAGTCTTCATGCCACTGTGCCTTCAGTCTGAGAATGAAGAAATACTTAGGGTTCACATTGTTCTCTCCCTAAAAGATGTGTTGAGGATCAGCCATGCATAATTTCAGCAAAATGCCATTTTTATTTTCAGGGGGAAAATAATATTCATTTAATATCCCTAATTTTTTTTTCATACTGAGCCATGTTAATATCTCTGTCTGTCTAACACAGGGCTCTTCAAACGTGGCCCTTTTATGCCTTGTGGACTTCAACTCCCAGAATTCCTCAGCCAGGCACGCTGGCTGAGAAATTCTGGGAGTTGAAGTCCACAAGTCATAAAAGGGCCAAGTTTGAAGAGCCCTGGTCTAACAAAATAACAGAATTATTATTCTGTCTCTTTATCTATCAATCTCTGAGTGGGTGTTATTAATCTTTCTTGGTTGATTATTATCTATTATCTATTCTGGAAAATTAAGCACTTTGCACTTAATATAATCTGTGAACTCATATCCACTTCATTAAAGATTACATGCAAGCATATATAAAAAACAAAATGTGGGCGGGAGGGTGGGTTTAGAAATTGTAAGATCAGAGGAAAATGATACACAACAGGGACAAGCAGTAATAATTTCCTAATTAGCCCTAATCTTTAAAATTGTTCTTAGGTAATGTTAGAAATACATTATCAGTCAGGAACTGATTAACATGTCCAACATGACTTGAGGAGGCACGCGATTTTGTTCAAGTCACAGGAAATAATTGAATATCCTGATGAGACACAGTTATATTGGTTTTGCAATCTATCTTTCAAATCCTTCACATTAGGTCTCTTACTAGGTTTGTCACTCAAACTCACAGCATGATGTTGCACCACTACAAGAACATCCATAAGCCCTGCTTCCTTGAGCTGGCCAGCAACCCGCTTGTGGGCCACTTGAGGAGGGATGGCCCAATTCTGGAAGCAACCAACTTTTCACCCCATTCCTGATCTTCATGTCAGCTTTATGTGACAGAGGAAGAAGGCAAAATAGTCACCCTCAAGAAGCAGGAAAGTGCTCTTCTCTTTGGCCTGGAGAAGACAGGATAACAAAGGACAAGAGTAGAGTGACTTACCCTGGGGTAGGAGGAAGAATCTTAGTAGCATATGAATATTAATTGCATGTACTATATTTTATATTTATGGCAGGGTATTTTTCCTCTTCTCTTCATTATATGTTGGAAGGAAGGGAGGAAGGAAAGGAAAGGAAAGGAAAGGGAAAGGGAAAGGTGGTTAAGGCACAAGGCTACGGACCAGGTGATAATGAATTCTAGTCCTGCCTGCCTTAATCATGAAGCCAACTGGGTGCCCTTGGACTAGTCACTGTCTCCCAGCCATAAGAAGCAGGCAATGGCAAACACTTCTTGCAATGAAATCTCACCAACAAACTTCAGGGACTTGTCCAGGCAATTGCCAGGAGTCCACACCAACTTGAAGGATCATTATCATCAAGTATATAAAGAACTACCCCTACAAATGCACTTAACATTTTCTCTATCGAGAAATGTTAACGTTCTTTGGAAAATGAAAGATACAATCAATAAACATCATCAGCAATATCAACAAATATCATTTTGCCCAGTGATTTTAAATTTGTGGCTTCCAATTTCAGCCTCTCCATAATTTCTCCCGCTTATCAATGATTCAAGGACATAAATTATGACAAATCTGTTGCCGTATGCCACAGCTACAGGTATACGTAAAAAGGTAGGTAAATTACTAGGTGCAGGAAATCACATTGCATCATTCATGTCGTGGAGAAAAAAAATTAGCTATTTGCTCCATCTACTGGCTACAGTACAGATGCAAGACTTTTAATTCTTGCCACTGGAATTCAACAATTATAGATATGGAAAGGACCATCAAGTCCACACACTTCTGCTTAGTGCAGACATCCCAATTAAAACTGTTTCTTGACTGATGAATTGTCCAGGTTTGTCCAATGACAAACTAAAGTTATTTCTTAACAGCTAAATCTGTCTTCCTATAATTTAACTTTATTATTTCATTAACTAACATTTGGAGTAGCTGGACATGCAATTCTATTTACTTGAAAAGAGTGATCAAGTCTTCTTTCGAATATGCCAAGGCAGTTTCTTCCATTTCTCTTGAAAATATTTCATTTTTAAATTTTTGATCATCCTCATTGTTCTCTGAATTAAGCTAGCAAAACTAAGCATATTGCTTTCTGTTGAAGACACTATTATTCAGCATTGAACTGA